TCCCGAGTTGGAATGGGGCCTCAATGTAGTCAATTTATTGAATCCTGTATTTTGCCTATACATGGTAAAGCAATAGGTGTACGATAAGGCCCCCATCCCAGCAGCATACAATCTGCTTCTTTTTTTTTTGCTCACCCATGACTTAAAGGAGAACTATGAGGTGAGTGCTTTTCACTCACCTCATAGTTCTAGCCGACCTGTGACAATGAGACTGTCACAGATCGGCTCAGTAGATCGGGAAGTGAGCGAACACATACCGGCGTTCGCTCACCTCTCGATCCGCTCACCTCTCGATCCTGTCACGGCTCTCTGCCGTGACAGGGGAGGGGCTGGGTTCCCCCCTCCGATCTGCCAGCGCTGACTGGTGGAACGGACGGGGGAGGGGGCGGGTACAGCTGGCTCTGCCTCTAGAAAGGCAGAGCCAGCTGTCAGTCACACAGCTGGGCAGATCCCGGCACAATTGTCGGGATCCGCTTCAGCTGCGGAGTCTCAGTATACCGCAAGCTGTATACTGAGTTTAGGGTGACACAAACTAGCGTCCTCCCGTTACCCTAAGGAGAACTATGGGGAAAAGACTTAACCCCATAGTTCTCCTTTAAGCTCCCTTCACATATTAGCGGTTTTCCACGCATATTTGTACGCATGGAAACACGCAAAACATTAAAACTAATACATTCCAATGTATCTTGTTCACACCTGCGTGACGTCAGCGCACGGTCCGGCTATAGTAGTAGCCACAAACGTGCAGAATCCACGCGTATGTTAACATTTTTGTGCCTCACGGAAAACCATGTGGTAAACACAGTCGTTATGTATTAATGGAGCCTTAGGCTTAGCATAGCAGTTACAGGGCTGTAGGCCTGTTGATGCTAATTGATGCTAAGCAAGAAAAAAGATAAAAATGCTAACTCTGGGAAGTAGATGATTCTAAACCTTCTGCATAGAAACCATTTAGAGTATTTTCTCATAATTCATTGATAACACATCACTTAATGGCAAAATTAGGCAATGGTTGCATTTTTGGCAATACATACTGTGAATGTCCTTACATGGGATGTAGCTGTAGGGTGGAAAATGTGTAACGCTCATAGATGCAACTGCAAACTGTCTAAAAGCTGTGACAAGCTGCAGATCACTGGGAAGAGGATTATTGGGAAAATATTTCTTTGTGTTCTGTCCCTGGATTCTTTAGTAAAAGAAGGAAAGGATGTGGTTACTTTATAAGCAGTAACGGTGTTTGTCCTTCTCTTCATATTAGTTTGAATCCCATTGCCTTTACATGTCAGGTTTAGACTGTACCTTTTTTAATTGATCTCTATTTTTTTAAAGGTACAGTGGGGGAGATGTATCTCTAAAGCACAAATAAAACCAAACTATTGCCGAAACCTTTTATTTTGTTTTGAAAAAAGTAGGGAAGGGTTTGGACCTCTGTTAAGTTTTTAATGCTTTCTGTGTTCCTATTGCTGAGGTTTCTCCTTCCCATCTTGACAAGAAGTGAGGGAAAATCTTTATGAACACAGACAAAAACCATGTAAGGAATGGTTAGACCATTTGAGTAGGCTTTTATTGTGGTCTGTTCCTTACTATCCTAGTGATGACTGCTCTCTCTTTTTTTTTCTTTCCTTTCCCTGGTATTGCATGGACAGGAAATCAGGAAAAATACCCCCCAGTATGATTACATACAGAAGTAAAACCCTGACCTATTTAAAATGGGCCATCTATTTATTTATTTTTATTCAGTGCCCTGCAAGGCACAATGTATCAAAACCAAGTTCTGTAGTCATTCCCAAAGTGTGTGTTCTGCACAATATTTACTGTACGGATTTCACTTTAGTGTCTTTTTCCCTCTGTACATATAAAAACATATCCGTAGCTTCAAGATAAGTGTGCCTTCTTTAAAAAAGAACCAGAGATTAAGTTTCTATAAAACTATATATGCTTGTTCAATGACTGTTGAGGTTTTTGTTCTTTGGTTACAGATTGTAGAGCTAGACCTAAATTTGGTTGTCTCAGGAACAATAGTATCCTGTTATCCGATATGATTATTCACGCCAAATACATAGTGCCGTTATTAAACAAAAGAGTTTTGTTTGAGTACCTTTTATAGAAAAGTACTTTGGATGGATTGTTTTGCGTATGGCATCATAAAACCCCACATTCTCAGTTCATGCAAATGGTTATCTCATTGTCCAGTGTGGTAGCCTATTCTTCTTGCTTGTACTTCAAAATAAAATGTGTATTTAATCAAGGAAGTGTCCATATCTTAGTTTGCTGGATCAGCGTTCTGCTTGTTAAAAATACCAAGTTATTTCAGCACTCTGCCTTTTCTTGAACTTATGAGTCTTGATTACACAGCAGAAGGGAACATTATGCAAGGATGTTTTTGAACTGTGCTTGGCTCTTGCCATTACAGTGTGTGTGTGTGTGTGTGTGTGTGTGTGTGTGTGTGTGTGTGTGTGTTACGATATTCTGAAGTTTTTTAAATTGTTTATTTCTAGCAGTTTTTCTTTTGCTAGTGGTTAGCGCCCTTCCATGGCAGCTCTGGGAAAGGGGTTTGCATCCAATCTGGGACACTGTCTGCACGAAAATGGCATGTTCTCCTCTGGTTTGTTTGGGTGTTTTCTGGTTTCCTCCCACAACCCAAGTAAAAAACATACTTGTAGATTCTTTAGCATTGATCTATAAATACTTTACCTCAGGGCTGGACAATTCCTGGTTGCCATGTTGCAATTGTGACTAGAAAAAGGCTCTCTGGAGATCGGGTCATTGACCGCACATAATTTTTTTTACTGATACAGGAGCTGCAGTCAGCACTCTGATATAAATATACTTTATTTAAACCCTTCTAGACATAAAAAAGCACCCACACTGGTAAGTTGTTTTTGTTTAGTTTTTTTATATTCCCAGAGTTCCTTTTTAAACTCTTGCATAAAATGTTGCAGATGGTTTGCTTTGCTGCTCAGACATATTCTATTTGGATTTCAACATGTTCAGGATTAAAGGAGAACTATGAGGTGAGTCCTTTTCACTCTCCTCATAGTTCTAGCCGACCTGTGACAATGAGACTGTCACAGGTCGGCTCAGTAGATCGGGAGGTGAGCGAACACATAACGGCGTTCGCTCACCTCTCGATCCTGTCACGGCTCTCTGCCGTCGCAGGGGAGGGGCTGGATTCCCCTATCCCTGCTCCGATCCGCCAGCGCTGACTGGTGGAACGGAGGGGGCGGGTACAGCTGGCTCTGCCTCTAGATAGGCAGAGCCAGCTGTCACTCATGCAGCTGGGCGGATCCAGACATAATTATCGGGATTCGCTTCAGCTGCGGCGTCTCAGTATACCGCGAGCTGTAGCTCACGGTATACTGAGCTTAGGGTGACGGGAGGACGCTAGTTTGTGTCCTCCCGTTACCTTAAGGAGAACTATGGGGAAAAGCCTTAACCCCCATAGTTCTCCTTTTAAATCGTTTGGGTACAACTGGACTGATAAGTTTTTAAATAAATGTAAAAAAAATATATTTTGGGTCCGTTGTTTTGTAGTTTTATTTTTATGTATCTAATTTTTAAACTGCTTTATTTGCAAGTTATTTAAATGCTTAAGCCTGATGTTGCTAAGGTTTTTTGTACTAATATATGTTTTACCAGCTGCTATTTTTTTTTTTAATTCCCAGAGTTCTTCTTTATAGGAAATTTAGGTTTTCAATTTTCACTTTAATAACAAATTAGTTTTTAAAGTATCCTACCATTAATATAAAAAAAAAAAAGTATCCTACCAGAGAAAAGCTAAAAGCCAGAAAAAAATTACTTTTGCGTCAATACACAAAGAAGGGGAAAAAAAACCACATAGCAAATGTTTTTTTTTTTCTTCGATGACACAGCAAAGTTAGAAGAAATCTCTGCTTTAGTGTTTTATGATAGGTTAGACAAAAGCATGGTCTAATTCTGCCTCTAGCCTCAGTTTGGGCTGCGGTTCAGTGCTCTTTCATGTGACATAGTTTGCTGAAATAGATATGTTGGTCACAAAGCGTCTGTGTTATCTGTGGGGTTTGAGTGGCCTGTAACGGAAACCTCAGAAAAAGGAAATGGTTTGGTTTTAGTGTGGAGTTTTGACTCAGTTTCACACTTGAAGTCATTTTATTAGATGTACTGTTTGTCCTGATGCAATTAGTATAATGTATGTATTGAAATATTCGCTTTCTGTATCGACATATCACTGTTACTAATTTATAGCCTTGTTCCTAGAGGAGTAGCCATGTATTATTTTGTTAATTATTTCCTTTTTTTTTTTCTAAAAGTTTAACCAAGTAGATTATGGTGAGCTTGGCTTAGAGAATGCAGACATCCTTCCAATAATTCGCTGCATAGCATAGGGCCAATATAAAGGCCTGTGTTTGTGGGCTTTCGTTTGTGTCAGGCAGGTTTCGCATTTCTTTACAGATCTTTTGAGATGTAAAACCCACTTGAAGCAGGTCAAATGTAGGTCAGAAGGAGGTCAACTGCGGGTCTAATGGACTTGTCAATGATTTTTACATTATATCAGAAGCATCTCAACATAAGCCAACAACATAAGCCCAAATTCCATTGACAAAGGCCCTTAAAGTTATTTGCTCCATATTTGCATACAGCTGTTACAGGCTACTTGGCCGTTATGGTTGCAGTTTATGTGCACCATGGCTTCTAGGGATGGGAGAACATTGAGAAAAGTGTAGCTGGAAAAATGTTTCTAATATTTGCCTTTAACTTTGCCTGTAACTTTGCCTGTAACTAGGGCTTCTGGAAACTATCCCAGGGGCATGTCATTTACTTGGCCCCTCTGACTATCTGTAAGTGAGAAGTAAACACCTTAGGGTTTTTATTTGTAATGGAAGTAAGGCATTTAAGTACCTTTTTTTATTGTAAGAAAGCATAGCGGTTCTATACATTATTAACTAATGTATTTGCGGTCTTTACTTCAATGACATTTTGTTATGATAGTATGATGATTTTATTCTTTACTATGCTTGTAGATGGAGCAGCTATCGGATGAGGAGCTTGACCATGGGGCAGAAGAAGACAGTGATAAGGAAGACCAGGACTTGGACAAGATGTTTGGAGCCTGGCTTGGAGAACTGGACAAACTTACTCAGGTGGGAACATTACTTCTGTTGAATGTCTTACATTGTCAATTAATTCATATTAAAGCCACACTGTTTACCTGTATGAAATTATATATAGCTTATGCATGCCTGTCTTATTCTCATTCACAGGGCTTGAAAAATCCGCTCGTCCTCTCGTCTGTGACGAGAGGACGGCAGAGCCCGACGAGTAGCTTCCCGTCCAGCTTTTGTAATTAAACGGCCGGCAGGGAGCTTTACATTCAAGTGATCAGCTCCTCTAGAGACGCCGATTGCTTGCATTAGCAGCAGCTGTCACTGCCATTGCCAGTCCCGAGATCCGCTGTGCCCGGTGCGGCCGGGACTGGCACGGCTGCTCTGTGACAGGAGATGAAAGGGAGATTGGTACACGATCTCCCTCTGATCTCCTCTCCGGTCCCTGAATGCAGGAAGTGATGTATATTACATCACTTCCTGCATTCAGCTGTCATTCCCAGCTACAGAAGCTGGGGAGAAGCTGGTGAAGCAGATCCCTGCTTCATCAGCTTCTCTGGAGTCCCTAGGTGACGTTGGGGGTCTTGGAGACCCCTGATGTCTCCATAAAAAGGACCTGTCATGTAAATTGGCTATCACAAAGGGAGCTTCTTAGCCCCCTATGTGATAGCAATAAAGTTGTGTAAAAAAATAAAGAAGCATACATTTTTCTTAAAGTCCCCCGCCCCCCACATGCACACGCAGACATGCGTCGGGTGCGCTTACGTGCAAAAGCGACTATTGTGCGGCACATGTTACATATCACCGCGAACGTCAGAATGTGAGAAATAATTATAGGGCCATTAATCACTTATAACACTAAACTGATGAGCGGTAAAAGCATTTAAAGCATCGCCTATGGCCAGTTTTCAGTGTGGTCGTTTTTTGCGATTTTGTGGGCATGCACAATTTTAAGGCTTGGCATGTTTGGCGTCTATTTACCCGACGTGACCCCGTCTTTTATATTTTACCAAAAATATGGGTAAGAATAGATGTTTTATAACCTAACGTAGGGAAATTTTTTATTTTTTTACATTTTCTGTCCTTTTTTCATTATATAGTAAAAAATAAACCCCCCCCCCCCCCCCCAGTGGTGATTATTTACCTCCAAAAGAAAGCTCTATGTGTCCCCAAAAAATGTTAACATAAATTGCAAGGCTATAGTCCGGTCATGCTGAGTGGTGACATTTTTGACTGACTGGTGAGACACCCTAAAATTTTTCAAGCCCTGCTCATTCATATATGGACACCCTTATGGCCAGGTAAGCAGATAAGAGATGCATCAGAAAACTGCTCCTCTTCTACCTGGATGCAAAAGATAACTGCTATTCCATTCCAGTGGTCACTTTCCACTTTAGTTAAAAAAAAATAAAAAATGTACTGCCTGCTGTGGACAGGACCCTCTTTTGCTGACCTGTTACTGCATCAGTATTTTCTAATGTTTATTGAAAATAGACCCCAGGCAGATATACAGACACTTTTGAAAAATTGAGCCCCCTCATATATGTATTTCAATTGTGTAGTTAGCGGTTTCGATCAGCTTCATATGTATATAGTGAATTATCGGCTGAGGACTGCAAGTTCCAGTTTTTTGTTTTGTTTTTTTGTTATAGTTTTGAATAGAAATTCTGAAGTTTAGGACCTCCTATTTTATATTTTAGTCTCTCTTCCCAGTGGGGATACCTCTGCCCACTTCCTGCCCCAGTAGTAGGGTTCACCATAGCAATAAATAGAGTGACAACTTCCTGGTGGGCTCACAGAACAGCTAGAAGTCGCTCTTCAAACGGCATTGCTCAAATTGCACTCAAAATAAGTGATTGTACTATAGAATATCATGGCTGCTGATTAAACAAGAGCAGCTTAAAGTGTACCTATACACAAATCAAGCTTAGTAGACTGTCACTTGGACATGATAACATATTAGGCCCCCACCAAACAAGATGGCCTCTGTGTGTAAAGCCGAGTATACACGGTTCTATTTTTTTTTTTTCCGTTCAATCTGTGGGCTGATCAAAAAAAATAGAACAAATTCCTCCAACACTTAAAAGCAATGATTGAGGAATCCCCTGCTGTTTCTGTTGGATTCTGCTGCTGTCAGAATACCTGAATGGAGCTTGCAGTGAATTTGCTGCATGCTCCGCTTGGCAAGAATTTTGCGACCTGATCACCTGATTTTTCTTAGGTCCACTTGTAACATAGTTTTGCCAGTAGAAATGTTTTCTTTTCCACTCTCGGTAATTGGGTACATCACTGTTTGTTATGCAGTGAAATGGCACAGTTGTTGTCACCTTGCCGGACGAGCTAGTTTTGTATAGACTTTTAGAGACAAATTAAAACCCAGCTCCAGCTAAATCATTTTAAGCAGTTACAGCAACTGTGTTAAAGGATTGTTACCCAAATTACTATTTTAAGTTATGAACCGCTATATAAGTGTTCAAACTTACAAGTATATGGTTCTGAGGATTCAATCATGAGATTTTTGAGCTCAACACAATAACAGAATTTATTTGTATATAGTATCAAGACTTAAATACAGCAAGCCAACAATCTATTTAACTACAAAATACAAAGAAAAGATGTAAACATGCCAAATACACAGACATTAGTATCTAACAGACAAACGGTAGACATACATTTAAGTGGGGGAAAGAATATATAGATATTTACCCATTAATCGTCACATGAGGGTCCCATCCTGGTAAAAGCGAACTAACGTCTTCCCTCAATCGTTAATATACCCCCAGTGTCCATAGGGATGCATTGGGAGCATTCGATTGGTTGCCTCCCAAGGCCTAATGGAGATTGGAGGGTTTCCCAAAAACCCTCTTTACAACTCCCCACCCCTCTCTATGATTGGCCAGTCTACCTATTGTTAGATCCAAGGGTCTCGGCTCCGCAAAAGACTGAGGACCAGCCATACTCTATGCAATTATCCGGACATGCCTGGGCTGAACAATAACCCTATTTACAATTCATTGGTCTGCAACTCCCCTCCACCGTGATAAGCACAACAAAGACTTTGTTTAACTACTAGCTACCCCCACCTCAGGTGAAATATTTAAAACAAAAAATAAAACTATATACATATGTCTTATGAAGATTTGAAATAAACGCATAAGGTAACAGTTTATCCCTGTAAATGCCACTTTTTCTAGACCGCTGGACCTGTTAGAGGAAGTGCAATAATGATGGAAAAGAATGGATCTGCTGGCAGGATCAACAGGAAATAAAACACTTTTTTTTTTTCAGGGGGGACCCAGAAAAACAAAAACTGCTGTGTTAATGTTATTGACTGACTCCATTGGTTATTTTTTAATTTTTACTTTTTTATTTTACAAATGAATATTACACAAAACATGAATTTGTAGAAATATAACCATTATACCTTCATAAGAATTATACTTTTAGTTAATTGATGCAGGTGTTGTCTTTGTACATCTGTGTTTTAAGGTTATTATTTTGTTTTTTCAACTAGAGCTTGGATACAGAGAAGCCAGAAGAACCAGTGAAAAGATCTCCTCTGCGCCAGGAGACCAATCTTGCAAATTTTTCATACCGCTTCTCTATGTACAATCTAAATGGTGAGTGATGACTTGTTGTGGTTGCTTTAAAATAGTATTATTCTATGATAAATTATGTTCAATTTTTTTAGGCTTTTATAAACCAATCTTCTATATAATTTGTTTTTGTAACATGTCATTTTTTATTTTATTTTTACAAATAGCAAGTTACAGCCGTAGGGAAGGGAGTTGGGCAAGTCCTGAATCTGACCATTCAGCTCTGTGTGTGAATAGGACTAAAGAGAGGGAATTCAAATTATATATATTTTTTTCAAAATAGTAGTAATATATATATATCTATATCTTCCTAGCTAAAAAAAGTAATACAACTTACATTTTAAGTCTTGAATATAATAAAAAATAGAATGATTTTAAACACTATACATTCCGTTAAAAACAATTCTAGAAAACAAGTAATATTTAGTGAACTGGCATTGCAATCCAGTAAACATTGCAACTCTGTTAGGTTAGGCTACTTAAACCAGGAACCAGCACATATTTACAGGATCATTTTCGGTGCCACTCAGTATAAAAAAAATACTGGCAGCCATAGGAATTTGGGTAGCAGGGCAAAAGATAAGTCATACAAATGAATAATAATACTAGAGCCATTAAACTAGTTGACAGTGTACACCGAGTGAACAACAAATCCTAAAAATGCAATCATTGAGTGGACACGAACTATACCATTAAAGGAGAACTATGGGGTCAGTGTTTTTCCCCATAGTTCTCCTTAGGGTAATCGGAGGACACAAATGAGCGTCCTCCCGTTACCCTAAGCTCAGTATACAGCCAGCTACAGCTCGCGGTATACTGAGACGCCGGAGCAGATCCCGACTTAGATGACGGGATCCGCCCAGCTGCGTGAGTGACAGCTGGCTCTGCCTACCTAGAGGCAGAGCCAGCTGTACCCTCCCCCATCCGTTCCGCCAGTCAGCGCTGGCAGATCAGAGAGGGGACAGGATCGAGAGGTGAGCGAACCCGGTATGTGTTCGCTCACCTCCCGATCTACTGAGCCGACCTGTGACAGTCTCATTGTCACAGGTCGGCTAGAACTATGAGGTGAGTGAAAAGCACTCACCTCATAGTTCTCCTTTTAAATTAAAAATGTATATGTTTTTGTATACCTGTGTTACTTGTGCCTGTAGTTGTATGCTACATTATAGTTATGGCAGCCATGTCCTAATTGTTTACTCTTTAAAGCACCTGGAAACTCATTCACAAACTTTGGCTTTATTTCTCTGTCAAGGTCACCATGATGGAAGGAGGATTAGAAATATGTGACAAATTGTTGGCAGGAAGTAATTTGTGCTATACAAACAATACTGAGTTTTATGAAAGGAGATGAAACAACTTACATCCTGTAATGACTCAGTGTTGACTGTATATGGTAACGTTAGGCTACGGTCACACTTTGCTTCCTCCAGTACAATTAGCTGTGTACTTGATACAGAGGATAGTAATCATTATTACTCCCATACTTTCTCATTTTGTTATTTCCTTTTTTTTTTTTTTTAATGCAGTAAACCTAACAAAGCTAAATGATTAAAAGGACTGCAGCTTCAGCAACAACACTTGACATAATGTGCTAGGATGCATTCTTACTGAGTTCTGTCTGCTACAGCGGTGATACCTCCATGCTTTCCCTTTGCATCAGTCACTGCCATCTTCTCCAAAACTTTTTCCACTGACCATGTCTTCCTCATTTTCTCAAATATGGGAACAATTGGTGATGCATCTCCCATGAATATCCAATGGAGTAGTAGTATCCTGGGAATAAGCTTGACTCTTTAGCGTCTTACAGATGCTGAGAATTTATGATGTGCATGAGCCACACTCAGGGTGTTTTTATAAAAAAAAAAAAGTTGCTGGTATAAATGAAAAAAGTTTTTTGACAGAAGAGAAAAACACGGTCTCTTCTACCAAAATACACAAAAATTGCATACTAGCAAGCAGAGAAAACAATCTTACATTCTTCAAGTGGCATTTTCTCAATGAAGACTTATATTATTGAAGCATATAAGCTGAACTATGCTTAATGCTTTTGTACCAGACTGCCCAGAGTGAATGAACTATGTACAGTATATCTTCACTTTATACTTTTTTGATTTTAATTTCAGTATGTTTGTTAGTGTTATCTTAACATTACTCTTGCTCTTCTATTGCTGTTTTGCAACCTGAGCAGGACATGTGGATGTTTGTTTTTTTTGTTCACTGTTATGTTCATCACTACCTCCGTGGCAGTTGCCATTGGGTACCATGAATATTTAAAGTACTTATGCAGTCACAGGAAAATACAGCTAGTTCAATATGAAGCAGAATGTTTCCCTACCCTTCCTTACCATGTCAGCAACATATGGTTGCTATGTTGTTATATTATGGGAATAAAATAATATAACTAAAAACGAATAATATATTTCTGCTGTGCAGTTAACACACTTTCTTTTGGTTTTGTAACCTTATGTGACCTTCAACCCTTCCATAAAGCTTGATATCGTAAATGATAGTTTACCCATTTTGTTTTCTTTGTAGAAGCTCTAAATCAAGGAGATGCTGTGGATTTAGATGCTCTCATGGCTGATCTCTGCTCCATTGAGCAGGAACTTAGTAGCATTGGGTCACATTCCTCCAAGAACACCCTAAAATCTCATGAACGTAAAGCTTCTCAGAAGCCACCTGCTGGCCGTACAAGCATCAAACAGAGCAGCTTAAGGGGATTACCTTCCTCATCTGGAAAAATAACCAAACCTTCTCATGCCAACTACTCCTTGGATGACATTACTGCTCAGTTGGAACAAGCCTCTCTAAGCATGGATGAAGCAGCAAGGCAGACAGTTGTGGAAGATACCAAACCAGTTGTAACCATCCATCACAGGCGAACGGCTTCGGCAGGCACGGTCAGCGATAGTGATCTCCGTTCTGTTAGTAATTCTTCCCGTTCCAGCATCACCTCAGCAGCCTCCAGCATGGATTCCCTGGATATTGACAAAATGACTAGACCTCAAGAACTAGACCTGGTACAACAAAGCCAGCCCATATCTGAGGTAAGCTAAATAAAACATGCAGCTGACCACCTTTTGCTCTAGAGATGTCAGTGTAAGTTTTTGCCTTAACTGGAACTGGAACCAAGTTATACATATCTAATGCAATCTATTTATGTTCAGCAAAAACTAAATTGTTCATTTTCTTCTTGAAATATAAGCAAATAATTTTGCACTGGTATTGAGATGCCATTACAAGCCAAGCCAATGTCCCATTGACTTCAGTGGCATGTGTGGCACGCGGCACCACCTGCCAAACGTGATATGGCGAGTTAGACTTACTGACACAGTAAAGCACTACGGCCATGACAATCTGTTTTGTACCTGAGTGACCATCATGTTTATTTGTAGGTTGTCAGTTGAGGGAGGTAAAAACATGGGTCAACCACTTGTTTTTACTGTCCCCCTTTCCGCATGTGCGAGAATCTCAGGAGAGATTCACCATCCACACTATTTAGCACAGATGGGGGAATGTGTGGCCAGCTCAAGAGTTTAGTAGCACAGTGCAAAAGGGTGCCTGTTCGCAGAGGTACCACAGTATTGATGAAATAGGTACTTTTACTAAACATATTTGAAGAACATTTTTTTTGTTGAGTTATAGTTTGTGTGGCTCCGAAAATGTGTGTACTTTAATGTCACCTAATTACATCTTATTACTTGGATATACAGACTCAAATTAAAAGGTTGAAGCAGTCATATCTGCTTATCGGCTTTAATAGAATAAGATGTTATCAGTGTTTAGCATTTGAATTGATGGTCCTTAAGACATTGTATGTTGCAGTGCCATTTAGTGTGACCTTTCTGAAATCTGGATATATATCACTGCTAAATAACCCTCTGGATATAGTCCAGATACAGGACATTATGATATTAATACTCATTCATTCCAGATTGTTAAAAAAACTTCTGTGTCTTCTGGGTTCTTTTACAGGAAAGGCGTGAAATTCACCATAAGGCCCTTTCAGACGGGCGCCTACAGTTCTGATCAGTAGGGGATCCGTACAGGAATCCCCTGCTGATCAGAATGGATGTCACTGTTATGACATCAGTGTCCATCGCAAGAAACAAAAAAACTGAAATGACTGGACCCATGTTGGTCTATGTGTAATCAGATGTAATGTGTCTTGTTTGTATTACATTATCCCCAATCCACCATGATCAGATCCACGGAACTCTGATCCATTTGTTTTTCCGGAGCTGGGAGGGGGGCTGCTGCAATTGGATGTAAATGGACGCACGTCACTTAAAACCCAGCTACCCATAGACTAGCATTTAACTTCCGATCACATCCACCTGAAAAACTGACAGGCAGACCTGATTGGAAAGCATGTGTGCAAGGGGCCTAACACATCTTGGACATAGTGTCATAGTTTAGACCTGTCACCTACAGGGGCCTTCTAATTAAGAAGTGGACCGGTGACAGAGTGGAAATAACAAAAAACAGACCAAACTAACTGTTGAGTAATTGTGTTTAGCTGCAGATCATAAACAGAATACTTCTAAGGCTTCTAGACTTCCAACACCAGGATTGTCAGTGAGAATCAGTATCAACTTCTATCTCTTGACTCATAAAAATTCTAAATCAAGAAGAAAGAGGCCTTTAGTATACAATCACAAATGCATGATTAGTTTAAATGTAAGAATGTCCTTTTTGGTCTGGTTTCAGGTTTTTAAAGTTTTGTTGACTTGGCACAGAAGATACATTTCTGTGCAGAGTTAGACGTTCTTATTAGGAAGCTGACACGCGTCTACAGTGGATAAAGGCCAATGTTACATTAAGTAGTCTATTTCCATGATAACTAATAGATGGTTATCATTAGTAACTTTTCTTTTAGCAAACCTGCTTAGGTTCTGGAAAGTTTATACATTTATAACAGGTGACATTAAAGAATTTGGTCTAAGTCAAAGAAAAACACGCCTGTTCCATCTGTGAAAAAAAGGAAAAAACAGAACAGAGCCTTCGTTTGACAGTGTAAGGAGCTAACAGTGAAGAAAGAACTTGGAGAAGTGACCTATTTCTTTAATGAAATTGCAGAAACCCTTTCCATTTCTTTGGTGCCTGCAACATGGTTATCTTTGCCAACGGTTTAGTTCTTTCTTCTGGCTAAGAGACCATCGATCTATATAGAGCAGCCACAGCTGATGTGTGTGCATGGGTTTTTTGATTTAAAGCTGGTCTATTTTATTCATAAATCTATACAGCCAGTATAGTAATTCTAGTATCCCTGGCTAATAGCTCTGCTGGGTCTGCCCTAACCTCCTCAGTAGTGCTACCACTGCGGGATAAGGAGTACAGTCCCAGCCTGCTGATAGAACAACAGGCAGAGCACTATGCTCTTTCCTCCCATCAGCATGTTCTCTAACAGCAGTGTGCACTACGGAACAATGAGCCTTAGGCCTCATGCACACACAACGCAAGAGCAAAATTGTATATTGCACATATACGCGTATATGCACGCGCGTATATATGTGCGCACTGTATGCAATCCCAGAATGCATCATTTTTAATAGACAATTTTAATGTACTGTACGTACACGTACGCGGGTAAAATACGCAGAAATTGCGAGCCCGGATGCATCTCGGTTCCATTTTTTTTTGCGCATCTTTACGCAGCACAAATGTATGGCTCCATACACAGCTATGTGTATGGAGTCATTTATTTGCATATGCTGCACTTCTATTGGTGGGGTTCAGTTTATTATCCTGTTGATAGCTTTGGATATTCCATATGCTGCATGTGTTGCATTTTGCCCCTATTTTAAACACTAATTCAATCTGTTCTGTTCCCCAAAATAGAATTATTAGCATGTACCTAGTTTTTGCTTTTTAAGGTTCACAATCAATCACCCACCACCAGAATCTGTAAGTTGCAGCAGGGCTTACATGCCATTTCCTTAAACAACTCCGGACAGAATAAAACGTAACCCTTGCACAGGGGGGATACCCTAACACTGCGAGAGTTAAGTGCTAGTTTTGGTCTAAGGTGTAAAAAGTAAAAGATATACTTACCCGTGCCTCTGTCTCGCCTGGCTGCTTGTCAGGTTCTCACAGCCTCTCTCCCCCTCTACTCTAGCAGTTTAAGGATTCGTGAACCATCACATCTAATATAGTGCATTAGACGCGAGGAGGCCGTAGGACATTCCACCGCCGGGTGAGGCTGTGTGGACCGGTCTAGCAGCCAGGCAGGGCCGAGGTTTGGGTGAATATATTTTTTTAATATTTTACACCCTAGATCAAGAAAACATTTGTAGTGTGGAAGTACCCTAGTACCACTGTGAGATCTAAGTTTCTCTGCCAGGAGTTGTTCTTTAAAGACAAGTTGCACGTTGATGCTGGAAGTATGTGGCCAAGCACTGTTTGAGTAGCTAGAATCTTGTCAGTTAACTGTGACAATGTACTTTGCCATGCCCAATGCTTATGCTATGATGTAGTCCTAGCAGGTACAGTTGCGCAAGGATCATACCCCTGATATTTCCCTTTTACAATAGAAAAAGAGGTTGAGGACACAGAATCCTCAATCTCTTTTTCTGCAGCCCCTGTTATGAATGAACAGGAATCCTCTATACTGAGTGTTCCTGTTCATTCATAACTTGTGGAGATAGTATGTTTACCATGTCCACAATCATGAATAAACAGGAAGTGATGTAGAGCACTTCCCATTCATTCATTATTGGGGACACAGTAAACATACTATGTCCTCAATTATTTACAAGCAGTCACTGATCGCTGAGTACTTGAACCCGTTCTCCTTCCTGACTCGCTGTTACTGGTGGAGAGCTTGGCCTCCATACGACAGCTGACTCCTCCACCGCACTGCCGTCCCGGCTTCCTGTGACGGCTGTCTCCACCCCCACACTGCTCTCCTGATGTGTTGCAGCGGGGGCGGTGTGGAAGGAGAGCCCGGCCTTTTATGACACACTCTCCTCCCCCCGCACCGCTCGGCCTCCTGTGACAGTTTCTTTCCTCCGTGCTAGACACTGAGCTGTGTCAGAGGGGACACAGAGCAGCGCCCAGCGGGGAGGAGAGAAACCAGGGATGCACTGCACTTTCGGCATTTTGCCAAAAGTGCCATTTTTGGTCCACATGTTTTGGCGGCTGACATTTCGGTACATTATTAATCATAACACTCCAGTGCTTTCCATTGTACAGGGAGAACATTTCATACTTTTAAAGGGAGTACATCAGCAACAGTTCTCGGAGTACTTTTATAACAAATGGGGCCATAGGGCCAAAACGCTGGGTAATGTTAATCCTACTGGCAACCTGGAACACATAATACATTTTAAATGTAGTCCATAGATCTAGTGATTATTTTCTTTTTTTCCTTTAAGGGATGGATTTTCTTTAGGGTATTGAAGAAATTCCTTACCAGAAGTTTTCTAGGAGAGCTACAAGATAGTTTAAAGTTTCCAACTGGTGGTTGACTAAATTGCTTCCCACGACAAGAGAGCCTTGTCTGTATTGTAATTTTTTTGGTTCAAGTAGTAGACTACTACATTATTATATTCCTAATGTGTAATGATCTTCTTGGATACCATCAATCTATATATTGTATTTCCATTTTCCTAGGGTAGTTGCCAATTTTCTGTATCTGCAAAGTAAGTTATCCAGTGCAGACCAAAGTTCAGTTGTTTTAATGTTGTATCGAAATTGGACTTGTTTCTGTGTGAGAATGGCCTCTCTCTGTCACAGTGTATGCCAGAGTCTAGGTCTTGCATTTCACATGGTAAGGATGTGACCCTGCCCTTACTTTGTGCAGGCCAGTTCTGTGTTATAATGGACATACGCTTCAGTCTAGTATCTGAAGGGTTCAGAAGGTGTATTAAGAGTGTGCAGTGCTCAATGTTGGGGTTTCACTTGGCTGTTAGAACGAAACACTCAGCTAGCACATGTGAACCTTTCAGTAAGAGGCAGGCACCTTTTAGGTGATCTATTTCGTAACTGGCATTCTACAGTTATACAAAGAATAAACAGATGAGAAGTTTCTGAAAAGCAATGAAGA